TTATGGGGCCGGCCGAATGGCTCAGTTGGTTAAGAGCTCGCTCAAGAGTTTGAGCTCTGAGCAACAGCGGTTCAAGGCCAGCCCGAGCTGAGCAGCCGCTAAGCTGCCAATAGGTAGCAGGATGGCTCAGCTAAAAAAAAAAAAAGAAAATGGTTTACCTTAAAGGAGAAATTTATAACTCCCGGCGTGCAGAGAAGTGAAAGGAGCAAGAGCTTTGGAAGCAGAATCCACCATGGGACAGCTGTTTGTTCTTGGGGGCATTCACTTAACAAGTTTACTAACCTGTAGAGCGGGGAACGACAGTATTATGTTACCTCCCCAGGTTTTGGTGAGAATCAAATGCAGACACAGAAGGGAAAATGCTTTGTAAATGTCAGTTACTGCGATCTTTACTGCAGAGTTGACAGAGGCCCAGGGCCTCCTCAACCTTTGAAGACAGTTGACAAGTCTGTCTAGCAGAGCGCTGCAATGTGGTAAGAGAGAAGCTGGTCTCCTAGGGGGGGATGGGGTGGAGATTCAGTTCGCAGGCCACAGGGACGAACGAATGATCAAATGGCATAGTACTGTCTTCTTAGAGCTTCCAAATTCAACAAAGTCCGGGGGGGGGGGGCAGGGGTTCAAACTGCCGTTTTTTTGTTTGTTTGTTTGTTTGTTTGTTTCCAAACTGCCTTTTAATTTTGCTGAACATAAAGAATGCAGAGAAGGTTCTTCCACAGACAAGTCCACATCCTCAGCCTCATTGTATTATCTTTCCATTTGCTGATAACTCCAGAGCACTTATAAAAGAACCCCTCCATTAACGTTTTCCAAGACAAATGAAAAAAACCATCAAAACTGCTATGGAACCAATTTCTTTTTTAATATTTCCAGGAAGAGGGAAACACAAATTCTGCAGAAGTCATTTAAAGTCATAAACCTTAAAAATGTTTGCAGCGTGTTCTACTGGGTGAAATTTTCCAGGTGACTTAGCCCACGGCGCACCACAGTAACACAGCCCTTCTGCGGTGCCAGGGAAAATGGCACTTCTGAACATTTTCCAAGTGACATGGCAGAGAAAAAGATCATTTTCCTCCATCGCATTGATTTTTTAAAGTAAATNAAAGATAAAGAAAATATTGAAAAGAAGACATTTTGATGACATTCAGGACATCAAGGGTTATATGACGACAGCTCTGATGGCCATTCCAGAAAAAGAGTTCCAAAATTGCTTTAAAGAGTGGACTAGGCACGGGCATCGGTGCACAGCTTCCCAAGGGGAGTACTTCAAAGGTGACCATAGTGATATTCAGCAATGAGGTATGTAGCACTTTTTCTAGGATGAGTTCACGAACTTAACTGTCATACCTCATAACCTAAAGCTCAGCTTCGCCATTTACTATGTATGACGTTGTATGAATTAATTTTTCTAAACTCAACTTTTCACCTGTCAAATGGGAAAATTAAAAAAACTGTTGCTTAGGGTTTTGAAGTGACAGATTTTTATTAAGGCTTGTTTTGACCATGTACCATAAAAGAAATTGAAACCAGGAGACTGTAACTTGGTGTAAAGGAAAAAGCTGGATTAGTAGCCAGGAGACTTGTGTTCCAGTTCCCCTCTACCTCAATCCAGTGAAAAAAGCTCAGGTAAGTGGAATAGCTCTTTTTGGCTTATTTCTTTACCTGTAGAATAAAGGCATGAACAGTGTTTAGGGATCCTCAGTACAGACACTTATTGTTTTCTCTGTGTAGCATGCCCTTTTTCTAGAAATTGTCCTTCCTTCTCACTTCAAATGCACAGTAACTGTGGGAGCTACTGTATTGGTACGAGGCAGCCCCACTCCTGACCACTGTTGGGTGGTACAGGGTTTCACAATCAGAGTCCTTTCTTAGCATTTAGGAACTAGAACTGAGAAAAAGGGGGCTTAAACCAAGGGCAAGTATATCTGGGGAGCTGATATGGTCTCTGCCCATGGACCAGAGGAGTCCATGCAGAAGCAGACGGAGGAAATGGAGAGAAAGCAGGACTGTCATTCATTACTCTTCTCCTTATTTCCATGAGTAGTGTAGTACAATCTCCCCTTTCTAAAGCTAGTTCAAGTTGAATTTCTATTACTTTCAACCAAAAGAATCACAAATTTTTTTACTAAGGGAGTAAATATTTTCCATCTGTAAAATTCTATGGGTGAGTGTTTGGTGATCAAAGGGCAACTAGGCCCTAATGCCTCGCTCTCCCATGGGGCAGGCCTTTGTGATGTAACCAACTGCGACACGATAGTTCTGCCTCGTCCTCTGGCCTCCAAGTGGTCACACTTCTCAGAAGGCCTCTGGGTTGAAACTGGGTCAAGGCTTTGTGTTCAGGAGGAATCATTAATGAGCAGGATGCCAGGGGTGGGACTGGATTTTTTTAACTAAGAAATATGAATGTTCATAAATGTTTATTAATGAATAATGCATAGATGACTAAAGGAATGATCAAAGGAGTGTTGGGGCTGACTGCGGGTCTTGAAAGGAACAATTACTGTGTATGTAAAGTCAACATCTGTTGAAGTCAATTTACCTCCCACTTAACAACAGAGCCTCAAAGGGGTGCAATAAGTGTAGACTTTGCCCAGATGGGTTAATGAAAGGTGGGCCTTAGGAACACTATTAGGGCTTTACATTGTGCCTGGCCTGGGTGGGGTGGGGCTATTAGGGTAGGAACAGCCAGCCTCTGGGCTCTAAATGCCAGGCTAGGCTGATAAAGAATGTACCAAGAGGTTAATTAAAAGCAGTCCTTGGGCCAACCGAGTGGCGCGTTGGTTAGAAGTTGGCGTGGGATGCCAGCTCTGAGCAGCAGGGCCCCGGTTCGGATCCCACATGAGGGTCAGTGATGCTGTACCCTCTACAGCTAAGATGGTGAACAACAGCTCGACCTGGAGCTGGGCTGCTGTGAGTTGCCGGTGGCGGCGGTGTAGGCTGCAGTGGGGCTGGCAGGCAGCGGGTGTGAGCTTTCGTGAGCTGCCGTGAGCCACCGTGAGCAGCCGTCCAGTGGCCGGCGAGCAATTGCCTCACCCTGGAAGAGCACAATGATGATACCAATATGGCCCAGTGAAGCGACGTCCTCCACAACTAGACTGAAGAACTAAAGGACAGCAACTTATCTGTTCCCCTTCCCCAATTCCTCAACACTGTTCCCCCAATTCCCCAATAAAATCTTTTTTTAAAAAAAGCAGCCCTGCCCAGGTTCCAGTAACCTCAGAAGGCTCAGGATAGACATACACTTTTCAACCCCTAAATTCTCTGTCCTCTCTCACTGGGTGGCAAAAATGCCGGACTCCAGGATGTGAGAGTTTTGGTCATCTTGTGGACAGAGCCTCAACTCACAGGATACCTGGCCTCCAAGATTCTTTGGTGGTCTCAGGGATGGCCAGAGAATGCAACCTCAGGAGTCCCACCCCCTGTCCCTGCTTGTGGCTGGTGTGAGAACTCACTACCCATGGGTATAAAGCCACCACTGTGTCCAAGTTCATGTCCACACAGCCAGGGAGAGCCGGAGCCAGGACTCCCACTCAAGGGCAGTCTGGCTCCAGAGCCTAATCTCTTCCTAACTGTAAGATAAAGGGTCCTGCCTTGATTACATTGGGAGACTACAGATCCAGAGGCGCTTTTCAGTGCTTCCTTCTTCCCTCTGAAATCCTGTCCCTAGCTACACCGTGGCCTCCTCCACTTTCCTGCCTAATCCTTCGTCAGCAGTTTTCAAACTGTGGCTCATGTCTCCTTAACAGGTCACAAATTTAACACAGAATCTGGACTAGTTTCTTTTTCTTTTTAAATTTTAATGAAAGAGAAATAACAATTGAAAATATTCCTCTCCTGGCTTACTGCATTCATCCTCCCTACGTAGTCAGTAAACTCCTACTCACCTTTCAAGTCTGTGTAAATGCACAGTGGTTAAGACGTAGGTTCTGAGCCAGAATGCCTAGGTTCACATCTCAGCTCTACCACTTAGTGTTGTGGGACCTTGGTCACAAGTTACTGAACCTCTCTGGGTCTCAAGTTCCTTTTCTACAATATGGGAATTATAAGAGCACGTACTTCACAGGTTTGCTGTATAAATAAAATGAGTTAATATATGCTAAGAGCTCAAAACAACATATGCACATATTAAAATCAATAAATGTTAGTGATTATTATTATGTTCTCTTTAAAGCTCTCTTGGAGCCCCTAGGCGGACCCCGGCATTTTTTGATCAGCGGTCCCCCAGTGTTAGGTAACTTTCCAAGGATACTGAAGTGCACACTTTGTGTAGCCAACATCCCATTTTTCTGTGATGACAGCATCCTCCACCATCCTGGAACCCTCGGGCCTGGCACGTGGAGGGTAAGCATTCTGGAGCCAGAGAGACTGCAATCTGAGTCTCCAACTCTGCTACTTGAAGTTGCTTATCCTTTCTAAGCTTCGGTTTCTGCTTCTATGAAACAGGGATAACAGTGCCTGCCTCAAAGGCTGTTATAAGTACTAAATGAAATAATATATGGAAAGTACCTAGCCCAGGACAAAAGCAGCTGTTATATCAGAGTATAGCTCAATAAATATTTAAGGAACAAATGAGACTCCCAAAACCAAAGAGATGCTGTCTGAACTCGGAAGATGCGTATTGCTGTTGCCTGATACCTGGAGTATAGCTCAAAGCTGAGGCCAGCTGCCCAGTCTGCTCGTCTTCCATGTATCTGACCATAACCATACACAACACGGTGCACACTGAATAGGGCTCTACAACTTATAACCCTGCTCACACATCTATCTTGGCAGGTAAAATCCCTGTTTTACAGTTTTGCCCAGCATTGTACAGCTGGCAGGTGGGGTCACTCCTCCCTACCCTACAAAGGCTTCCCATCAAACCCTGACAGGAATGTCAATCTCAAAGCTGGTTTACCCAGCATGGCAGGAGGGTGGAAGCTGCCATCAGAAAATGGTTTACCTTAAAGGAGAAATTTATAACTCCCGGCGTGCAGAGAAGTGAAAGGAGCAAGAGCTTTGGAAGCAGAATCCACCATCTGACGGCTGTTTGTTCTTGGGAGCATTCACTTAACAAGTTTACTAACCTGTAGAGCGGGGAACGACAGTATTATGTTACCTCCCCAGGTTTTGGTGAGAATCAAATGCAGACACAGTAGGGAAAATGCTTTGTAAATGTCAGTTACTGCGGTCTTTACTGCAGAGTTGACAGAGGCCCAGGGACTCCTCAACCTTTGAAGACAGTTGACAAGTCTGTCTAGCAGAGCGCTGCAATGTGGTAAGAGAGAAGCTGGTCTCCCAGGGGGGGATGGGGTGGGGATTCAGTTCCCAGGCCACAGGGACGAACGAATGATCAAATGGCATAGTACTGTTTTCTTAGAGCTTCCAAAT